GGTCTAGAGCCTCCATTTTTGCACTCAGGTCAAAGTCTCACAGCCCTCTATCATAATCCAGAGTTTTGAGAAGATTGGAGAAACTTAATTTTTCGCCCAAAAACGAAAAAAAACGAAAGGGGTAACACTGTCGTTTTTTTTTCGGGTCGAAATTTTGAATTTCGATATCTCAGCTCTGGAAGGGTCTAGAGCCTCCATTTTTGCACTCAGGTCAAAGTCTCACAGCCCTCTATCATAATCCAGAGTTTTGAGAAGATTGGAGAAACTTAATTTTTCGCCCAAAAACGAAAAAAAACGAAAGGGGTAACACTGTCGTTTTTTTTTCGGGTCGAAATTTTGAATTTCGATATCTCAGCTCTGGAAGGGTCTAGAGCCTCCATTTTTGCACTCAGGTCAAAGTCTCACAGCCCTCTATCATAATCCAGAGTTTTGAGAAGATTGGAGAAACTTAATTTTTCGCCCAAAAAAAAAAAAAACGAAAGGGGTAACACTGTCGTTTTTTTTTCGGGTCGAAATTTTGAATTTCGATATCTCAGCTCTGGAAGGGTCTAGAGCCTCCATTTTTGCACTCAGGTCAAAGTCTCACAGCCCTCTATCATAATCCAGAGTTTTGAGAAGATTGGAGAAACTTAATTTTTCGCCCAAAAACGAAAAAAAACGAAAGGGGTAACACTGTCGTTTTTTTTTCGGGTCGAAATTTTGAATTTCGATATCTCAGCTCTGGAAGGGTCTAGAGCCTCCATTTTTGCACTCAGGTCAAAGTCTCACAGCCCTCTATCATAATCCAGAGTTTTGAGAAGATTGGAGAAACTTAATTTTTCGCCCAAAAACGAAAAAAAACGAAAGGGGTAACACTGTCGTTTTTTTTTCGGGTCGAAATTTTGAATTTCGATATCTCAGCTCTGGAAGGGTCTAGAGCCTCCATTTTTGCACTCAGGTCAAAGTCTCACAGCCCTCTATCATAATCCAGAGTTTTGAGAAGATTGGAGAAACTTAATTTTTCGCCCAAAAACGAAAAAAAACGAAAGGGGTAACACTGTCGTTTTTTTTTCGGGTCGAAATTTTGAATTTCGATATCTCAGCTCTGGAAGGGTCTAGAGCCTCCATTTTTGCACTCAGGTCAAAGTCTCACAGCCCTCTATCATAATCCAGAGTTTTGAGAAGATTGGAGAAACTTAATTTTTCGCCCAAAAACGAAAAAAAAACGAAAGGGGTAACACTGTCGTTTTTTTTTCGGGTCGAAATTTTGAATTTCGATATCTCAGCTCTGGAAGGGTCTAGAGCCTCCATTTTTGCACTCAGGTCAAAGTCTCACAGCCCTCTATCATAATCCAGAGTTTTGAGAAGATTGGAGAAACTTAATTTTTCGCCCAAAAACGAAAAAAAACGAAAGGGGTAACACTGTCGTTTTTTTTTCGGGTCGAAATTTTGAATTTCGATATCTCAGCTCTGGAAGGGTCTAGAGCCTCCATTTTTGCACTCAGGTCAAAGTCTCACAGCCCTCTATCATAATCCAGAGTTTTGAGAAGATTGGAGAAACTTAATTTTTCGCCCAAAAACGAAAAAAAACGAAAGGGGTAACACTGTCGTTTTTTTTTCGGGTCGAAATTTTGAATTTCGATATCTCAGCTCTGGAAGGGTCTAGAGCCTCCATTTTTGCACTCAGGTCAAAGTCTCACAGCCCTCTATCATAATCCAGAGTTTTGAGAAGATTGGAGAAACTTAATTTTTCGCCCAAAAACGAAAAAAAACGAAAGGGGTAACACTGTCGTTTTTTTTTCGGGTCGAAATTTTGAATTTCGATATCTCAGCTCTGGAAGGGTCTAGAGCCTCCATTTTTGCACTCAGGTCAAAGTCTCACAGCCCTCTATCATAATCCAGAGTTTTGAGAAGATTGGAGAAACTTAATTTTTCGCCCAAAAACGAAAAAAAACGAAAGGGGTAACACTGTCGTTTTTTTTTTCGGGTCGAAATTTTGAATTTCGATATCTCAGCTCTGGAAGGGTCTAGAGCCTCCATTTTTGCACTCAGGTCAAAGTCTCACAGCCCTCTATCATAATCCAGAGTTTTGAGAAGATTGGAGAAACTTAATTTTTCGCCCAAAAACGAAAAAAAACGAAAGGGGTAACACTGTCGTTTTTTTTCGGGTCGAAATTTTGAATTTCGATATCTCAGCTCTGGAAGGGTCTAGAGCCTCCATTTTTGCACTCAGGTCAAAGTCTCACAGCCCTCTATCATAATCCAGAGTTTTGAGAAGATTGGAGAAACTTAATTTTTCGCCCAAAAACGAAAAAAAACGAAAGGGGTAACACTGTCGTTTTTTTTTTCGGGTCGAAATTTTGAATTTCGATATCTCAGCTCTGGAAGGGTCTAGAGCCTCCATTTTTGCACTCAGGTCAAAGTCTCACAGCCCTCTATCATAATCCAGAGTTTTGAGAAGATTGGAGAAACTTAATTTTTCGCCCGAAAAAAAAAAAACGAAAGGGGTAACACTGTCGTTTTTTTTTCGGGTCGAAATTTTGAATTTCGATATCTCAGCTCTGGAAGGGTCTAGAGCCTCCATTTTTGCACTCAGGTCAAAGTCTCACAGCCCTCTATCATAATCCAGAGTTTTGAGAAGATTGGAGAAACTTAATTTTTTCGCCCAAAACGAAAAAAACGAAAGGGGTAACACTGTCGTTTTTTTTTTTCGGGTCGAAATTTTGAATTTCGATATCTCAGCTCTGGAAGGGTCTAGAGCCTCCATTTTTGCACTCAGGTCAAAGTCTCACAGCCCTCTATCATAATCCAGAGTTTTGAGAAGATTGGAGAAACTTAATTTTTCGCCCAAAAACGAAAAAAAACGAAAGGGGTAACACTGTCGTTTTTTTTTTCGGGTCGAAATTTTGAATTTCGATATCTCAGCTCTGGAAGGGTCTAGAGCCTCCATTTTTGCACTCAGGTCAAAGTCTCACAGCCCTCTATCATAATCCAGAGTTTTGAGAAGATTGGAGAAACTTAATTTTTCGCCAAAACGAAAAAACGAAAGGGGTAACACTGTCGTTTTTTTTTTCGGGTCGAAATTTTGAATTTCGATATCTCAGCTCTGGAAGGGTCTAGAGCCTCCATTTTTGCACTCAGGTCAAAGTCTCACAGCCCTCTATCATAATCCAGAGTTTTGAGAAGATTGGAGAAACTTAATTTTTCGCCCGAAAAAAAAAAACGAAAGGGGTAACACTGTCGTTTTTTTTTCGGGTCGAAATTTTGAATTTCGATATCTCAGCTCTGGAAGGGTCTAGAGCCTCCATTTTTGCACTCAGGTCTAAGTCTCATGGCCCTCTATCAGAATCCAGAGTTTTGAGAAGATTGGAGAAACTTAATTTTTCGCCCGAAAAAAAAAACGAAAGGGGTACCACTGTCGTTTTTTTTTCGGGTCGAATTTTTGAGTTTCAATATCTCAGCTCTGGAAGGGTCTAGAGCCTCCATTTTTGCACTCAGGTCTAAGTCTCATGGCCCTCTATCAGAATCCAGAGTTTTGAGAAGATTGGAGAACTTAATTTTCGCCCGAAAAAAAAAAAACTAAAAGGTTTTTTTTCGGGTCGAAATTTTTGAGTTTCCGTTATCTCAGCTCTGGAAGGGTCTAGAGCCTTCCATTTTTGCACTCAGTGTAAAGTCTCATGGCCCTCTATCAGAATCAGAGTTTTGAGAAGATTGGAGAACCTTAATTTTTCGCCCGAAAAAAAAACGAAAGGGGTACACTGTCGTTTTTTTTTTTGGGTCGAATTTTTGAGTTTTTCAATATTCTCAGCTCTGAAGCATCTAGAGCCTCAATTTTGCACTCGGGCTAAGTCTCTGGCCCCTCTATCAGAATCCAGATTTCAAGAAGATCAGAGAAACTCAAAATTTCGACTCAGAAAAAAACGACAGTGGTATCCCTTTCGTTTTTTTTTCGGGTCGAATTTTGAGTTTCGATATCTCAGCTCTGGAGGGTCTCTAGAGCCTAAATTTTTGCACTCAGGTCTAAGTCTATGGCCCTCTATCAGAATCCAGAATTTCAAAAGATAGAGAAACTCAAAATTTCCGACCCGAAAAAAAAAACCACAGTGGTACCCTTTCGTTTTTTTTCGGGTCGAAATTTGAGTTTTGATATCTCAGCTCTGGAAGTGTTCTCTAGAGCCTCCATTTTTGCACTCAGGTCTAAGTCTCATAGCCCCTCCTATCAGAATCCAGAGTTTGCAAGAAGATCAGAGGAAACTCAAAATTTCGACCCGAAAAAAAAAAAAACGACAGTGGTACCCCTTTCGTTTTTTTTTCGGGTCGAAAATTTGAAGTTTTGATATCTCAGCTCAGGAAGGCTCTAGAGACTTCCATTTTTTGCACTCAGGTCTAAGTCTCATGGCCTCTGTCAGAATTCCAGAGTTTTCAAGAAGATCAAGAGAAACTCAAAAAAAGACCTGAATGCAAAATTAGTTTTCTAGAGCCTTCCTGAGCGTGAGATATTGATAACTTAGCGATAAAGTTGTAATGTTTTAATGTTCAAGTTTTTTGCTCTAAAAAAAGAAAGATGCACACAGAAAATGACTCCAATATGACCAGATTGAGTGTTTTCGAATATATTTGGTTTGTTACAAACAATGTGCAATCTGTAAAACAAAAACCTCAAAATTATTATGTTTTAAATGGTATACTGCTGGAATTTTTTTGACCTTGAGAACAGCTTAAAACATAGACCAACAAATTTTATGTTTATTAATTTATTTCATGTTGGTACATTTTTGGGAAGTACACCTGTTTTGACCTGATGTCCATTGGAA